TTACATGTTAATATGATTACTTGCATGCTAGAATTAGGGTTTATAGTCTTGGATTCAAAGCATGTACAATAGAGAAACCTAGATCCAAGCATTAGGGTTTGTATGAGAACATAGGATGTCTTATGACCAAAAAACCCATCAGTATTCACGATATTTTTTTCGAGTATTAGCGATGACATATGTAGCTGCTATTGTCGTCGCTGGTATTGTTGTGTACGATGCGTGTTTTCAGTTGTTAGATTAGGCACAATATCGAAGGGTAGAGTTTAACATCTGAGATTCTCAGATAGAATCGCTACTAAAGCCCAATATTCTTCTTATAGTGCTTTTAAACTAATGTCTAATAGTTTGTCATGATGATATTAACCTAACAAAATAAATGACAAACACGGAACGGATGGTTACCGTATGTATTTATTTAATAGTATAAATTGTTTAAAAAAATAAAGAGTTAGAGGAAGGAAGGATATATTACATAATTTACTTTTCTTTTAAGGAAATTTTTTATAGGATATTTAGTTATCAAATCTCACCTATATATGTATGTTTATCTCTTATGATCTCAAAGAATCCTGAGTCTATAAGGTTAGTCGATGGTTACCGAGTATCAATTGTTTAAAAAAATAAAGAGTTAGAGGAAGGAAGGAAGGATATATTACATAATTTACTTTTCTTATAATGAAAATTTTTATAGGATATTTAGTTATCAAATCTCACCTATATATGTATGTTTATCTCTTGTGATCTTAAAGAATCCTGAGTCTATATGGTTAGTCGATATGTTTAGTATAAATATCGGCGACATGATGCATTTAGGGTTTGAGTTATAATATTTATTCAAACAGATCGGCCCTATATATACCGCATGTATCTTAGATACCCTTCAAAAAAGCGACAGAGACAGTGACAGACATGGGTCATGAGTTGCCGGCAGACCTCATCTACGACATCCTGTCAAGAATGCCGGTCAAATCTTTGGATCGTTTCCGGTGTGTATGCAAACAGTGGTGTAAGTATATCGATGAACCTAACCTTGCCATCATCCAGATGAATCGAGTAGCAGAAGAACCCATTCCGATCATGTTGAGAGTGTACCCTGATCCTGGTTGCGACCTTCTAACTCTTTTTCGTATCACTAAATCCAAAAAAGATGTGGCGAAAAAGGACTCGGTTTTGGAGTTTGAATGTAAGGCGCCGTTCTATGAGTATAACAGACACAGCATTAGAGGTTCTTGCAATGGGCTACTCTATTTATCAGAGTACAGCGACACCGACTTTCCTTCAACCACTCTGTCTGTGATCCATCCTCTAAGGAATCAACGTTATGAGTTGCCACCTATCAAGATAATGGAATCATGTGGCCTTGGTTTCGATGCTTCTACCAACACTTTCAAGATGTTGGCCTCAGCCTTGGTGGAGATTGGGAAGAGAATGTATACAGTGCATACCATGGTGCATGTCTTGGGCACTGACTCATGGCGAGAGATAACCCAAATCCCACGTTATCACATGAAGGGTAAGGGTACATTCGCACATGCATGTTTGCATTGGTTAGGGTTTCATTATAAACAAATGAGGCATACTGAAAGGTTTGGGTTTCTTGATCTATTACCACCCAATCACAGAAAGAAAGTGGTACGTTTTGATATAAGGAAGGAGGAATTCGAGCTGATTGATCCTCCTAGAAAAAAAGGAGACGATTGGGTTGAAACTATGTTGGTTGATTTGCATGGTGAAATTGGATTAGTGTATAATAGTACCCACTCCTTTAGCATGGAGTTGTGGGTATTGAAGCAGAATGATCAATGGATGATCCAATGTCAGTTTGATTCCAAACCACCTCTTACTTATCAATGTATAGAGATTGTAGGTTTTTGGAACACTTCTGGAGACATTTTAGTAACAGCCGAGGTTGGGAAACGGTTGTTTGTTTACAAAGTCAAAAACGGGGGTTTCCATGAAGTCAATCTTGTTGGTTGGGAAGATGGATGGGCATATGTTCATATGTATCGGGGTAGCCTTTTTTCAGTTCCTGGCATGAAGAAATGGGTGGCTTCTAGCTCTAAAAAAAGAAAAAGAAAAAGAAAAGAAAGAAGAAGAACTAGAATTCCATCAAAACTGATTTATGGTTTTTTGGATTTTTGTTAGGTAGTAGAGATTTAAGCAAAGGTCGATATTATCTGTTAATCAGTTTATACATTTTGTGTTGAAAATTTTTGCCTTGTTGCTTTGGTAATATACATTGGTTTCTACTTTAAGTTTTTGTCCAGTTGTCCCGGTACAATCACTCTTAGATGATTATTAAACTTAGAAGCGCAACAAATAATATAATTGATGTGATGAGAATGTAACTTTAAATAAGATATAAGATAATCTTTAATTAACTCCTAGATAATACGACTTTAATAACATGCGAACTAGAAAAATACTGTCTCATCAAGACATAAAAAGATATAAAATAACATACTTGACATGAACTACACATTATCAAATATGCGCGAGTCTAATTTAACGACAGAAAAACTAAGAAAGTGCGAAGATTGGGATAAGATCATTACTCCTAAGGGCATCCACAAGGCATTAAACTTTACAAGTTCAATGGAACATATTAAAATAATATTTATTTAAAGATTTAAATACTTTCCTTTTTCCCATTGAAGAATTCAATGGTCATTGAACTTCAAATCTATTAAATGCCAAGGTGGCATTTCACAATGGTGGAGTTGTATCCATTGAATGACAAGTAGGCATGACAAATCATTCAACTTTTTCATTAAACTCCTCATTGTGGATGCTCTAAGTTTATTTATGAGAAAAATATAAGTGAACGAAAAAAAAAAAAAAAAAAAAAAAAAAGAGGAAGATCAATGTGAATACCTCTAATAAATTTATTGTAAATGAATGTTTATTAAGGATAAGAGATACGGTCACACCCAACCTATTCAAAAAGTGATGTCATCTCAGCATCATGTCAGCTTCACTACCAAACCACTAGCTCTCGGAAATGGTTACCACTCGACAACAGTTTTTTTTTTCTTTTTTTGACATTATTAGATTAAAATAAAAATATAATTCAAATAAAAACACACATTAAATTAAAAACACATTACATTAATTTAAAACACACAAATTTAAATCCTAAAATACTTAAAAAACATAAAAATAAAATAAAATCCTAAATTACTTAAAAAACATCAAGCATACCAACTAAAACATAAATATTAAAACCTAATTTTCATATTTATCGCGGACATGTTTTTGGATTTTTAGAAATATCGTTAGATTTTTCAGGTCGAGATCCGATTGAGGCTTTGTGTTTATAATTTGAAGATCGGTAAGAACGATTTACCGTATGAGCTTCCTCCGTTGATTGGTATTTTTTCAAGAATACTTAAAGTTTTATTTATGGATTCCACAAGCCCGTCGTCGTTAGTTGCGGTTGCTTTTCCGCTTGAATACGCCGTCCGTTTTGCTTCGTCCCTTCCTAGTGGTCGACGAAGTTGGACTTCCGGTGGACCCTCTACCTCGGCAACCTCGAATTCATCATTGAGGTCTAGGCCAAAACCCACGTCCGAATCGGAAGTTCTTGGTCTTTTGTTGGAGCCGGTGGTCGAGTCTTGGTCGAGTCTGAATGCAACGTCTCCAGATTAAAGACTCATTTTGGACCCTTACAACAAACTTCCCACATTTTTTGGTGACCGAATGGTTTACCATTGTTGGTAACTATAAATTGGTAGCACACAGTTGAAAAAATTTTGAAGTCGTTGCAACCACCTTTCTGTATATTTTTTAGATTCTCAAATATGTCATTAAACTTTGTGCAACTCGCCCGTAGATCACACCATTTTCCGTTAACTGCATCGTACGACCGATCTGCTTGCCTTCGTAGTAGCGCTTGAAAGTGATCCAAAACATGATTCCAAAAACTTTCTCTGGATTGTGCGTTGCCTCTTCTTGAGTCACACGATATGAAAATCCAAACTTTCGCTAAAGTTTCCTCCTCTTCTTTGTTCCAAGCCACTGCTTTTTTTCCCTTTTGCTTTTGGTTGCCTTCTTCGAGATGGTTGTGGTGCTTTTTGGACCTGTTCGTCGTCATTGTCGAGGTTTACAATTTGGGGTTGAGATAATAAACTTGAGATGACTGTGTTTGGAATTGTTGAGAAAGTTGAAAACCTTAAAATTGGAGTTAAATTAATTGTTGTTGTAGTTATGTTGGTACAATTATGGGTCGTATGCAAGGTTAGTAAATAAAGATTGTTGGATTGGAGAGTTCAACAATTGCATGTAAGTTTGATAATCACTTAGATTGTTTGGGGTATTTAGAGTGGATGGATATTTTGGTTTGGGTCCATTTTTGAAGAATAAATAAAGAAAGTAGACTGCTTTAGAAGTGTAAAATATAGTTAAAATGTGTAGTATTTATAGGTAAAAGATGTAAGATGTTATTAAAATTTAAAAGCTTAATAAAAAGAAAATTAAAAATCAATAAAACAGTCAAGCATACGACTGTTAGTTTCTCTCTCCTCCGCCGATTTGTTGTCTTCATCCGTGGATGGTGAAGCGAAACAACACACAACCACGTTTTGTTGGCACTTGCAATGATGAAGCTCAAAAATTTAGGATAATTAAGACTTGATTTGAACTCATATAAGTAATTTGGTTGATTCTAAGTTTCTAAGGTCTCTTTCAACAAAAAGATACAAATAACGGAAAAGACAAAGACGCACTTGTCATTCTAAACGGACTTAATAGTGTTATCACGTTTAATTAAAAAAGTGTGTCCCAAAAGGTTACAAATAACTTTTGGAAGGACAAGCATTTACAATGGAAAAAAAAAATTAAAAAAAAATTGTTTCCTATTGTTTGATATCAAGTTAGAAAAATATTTATCGACGTTCAAAAACAAAATGTCGGATGTTTGGTAAAACCAAAAACACTCTCAAAAATAATTTTTAACTACTCTCAAAAGGCCATAATAAGCACTTTATCAAAAAGTAGTTATTGAGTTAAAAATAAGCAATCAACAAAACATTTCATAAAGTAGTAGTAGAACAATTAAGAACAATAACATCTCATCATAAAGTACATTGTCTACCAACCAACAATGTTTAACAAAACTACTCACCTCTCAAGGGCTAGGAGAAACATCCACATCGGCTTCACCCCTCGAGTATCCACCACTAGCCACAGGACTCCGGCCCCGGTCCCTGGGTGCACCGCGCTGGTCCCGGTCCCTTACAGGGCTACGGCTCGGGCTCCTCGACCCGTTGTAGGGCGGCGGTGACCACTCAACGGGCGGGCTCCGGCTCCGGCTCCTTGGCGGCCCATCATAAGGCGGTGATCGGGGTCTCACCGGAGATTGTGAGTATAACCTTTCTCGAATATGTCTTTTCTCTCGAGGAGAAATCGACCTATATAACCAAATTGTTAAATGAGAAAATTACCAAAATACCCTTGTGAATAATACAAGATTATATAAATTATAAAAGATATATTTTTTTTAATTTATTACCTCGCGTGTTGCTTTCGCTTTGGAGGAGGGGAGTATTCGCGGCTGTGGGAGCGGGAACGAGCGTAGCGTGGCGGTGGTGAGCGGGAGTAGCGCGGTGGAGGTGACCGCCTGCGATCATTAGGACGTCCGGATCTGTCTCTGAAATAATAAAAACTGTTAAAACCTCGGAATGGAATCAGTCAAGGAATGGATTACATTCTGATTCCATAATCTAATAATAAGGAAGTAAATTTACCTCCTTTCTCTTTGCCTCATATCAGTAGGCTTCTTTCTGTTCTCTTCAGCAAACACAACAGTCAGATGTCTTCCCATAAGAATCTGACCATCCATTTGATATTTAGCTTCAGCAGGATCAAGAAATTGAACAAATCCAAACCCTCTTGGCTCCTTACAAAATAAAAAATTTATAAAAACAAAAAATTATAATGTCAAAACTCAAAAATAAGTTTGTGTTATTACCATGTAAGATTAAGGTTGTTTGATAATGTCAGCGAGAAAGAAAGTCTGACAAGATTTTACAAACAGCCTCATGGAAGTAAAAATTTATATAAAAATTAAAACTTTTAGTGATTTGAATGGTGATTAATCTCCATAATTTGGTTCTTGATCTTTTGGTAAGTTTTTCCTTACTAATCTTGTGTTTTATACACATATATACTAGTTTTGTTACAATTACACACATTAAAATGTGCTAATATCCATAGGATATTTCGACCTTCAAGTGTTCTTCAAGTGTCTTTAAGTGTTCTTAGCTTGAAATCATTCATCTTCACATCTTTATCCACCAAGAAAAACACTCAATGTGAGCTCATACCCCTTATTTTCGTTTTTATCCAAGTTTTAAGGGGAAGTACAAGTAAAATTGTATAATAATAGAAGTTGATATAGATGTTTTATCTTTATGTTGTGTAAAAGTGTTATCGACATGAAATAATTTTATTACCTAGTATTATGAACATTTGTGTGTGGTATGTTGTTTAAAATAGAAATATATGAAAAATGAGTATAAGCATGATATATGTTCTTAAGGAAAGTCATAAAAACAAAACTATAAAAACTAGGGTTTTTATTAACATAATATGACTTTTCTAGCAAAAATGGTTAAAACCAAGTTATTACTCTATTTTTATGGGATATAAATCAAAATATGTTATTTTGGACATATGTTATGAAACTAGTTATAAATACCAAGGATTTGGTTTTACAAAAGGAAACCTTAAAAATCTATTATTTTCTATAAAAAATAAGGTTTTCTAACAAAAATGGTCATAACCAGGTTATGGTACCATTTTTGTGAGATTTGACCTAAAATATGTTGTTTTATTCATATAAGGTTAACATGACTTAAATGTCAAAAAAGGTGGAAAATTTTTTTTTTACAAAGTTCATAATTCAATATTTACCGTTTGGTGACGAAAAGAAAGTAAAAAACTAGAAAACTGACTTTATCATACTAAAAGTTCATATATTTATATTAGATGTATAATATATGTTATTTATAAACATCTAAAACACGTTACCTTATATATATATATATATATATATATATATATATATATATATATATATATATATTCCAATCAGAACATTTTTCCCGTGAGAACATTTTTGAGACTCTCGGTACATATCCCTCTTATATTTCTCTCTCTCCATACCTCTTTTATTTTCTCTCTCTACATATCTATCTCATCATTCTCTCTCTACATATCTTTTGAGACCACCGTCACCATCAACGGACCTCCACCGTAATGACGTTGGAACCACCCTAACGTCGTCGGAACTACCTTAACGTCACTGGAATTACCGTAATGATGTCGAAACCACACTAATTTCGTCGAAATCATTGATCTGCTTCTTCACTCTCTTTGGATCTGTTTGGTTTCCCGATATCATTTCCCGATCTCCAGGTCTACTTATTGTGGATCTGTTTGGTTTCCCGATATCATTTCCCGATCTCCAGGTCTGCTTATTGTGGATTCCCGATATCATTTCCCGATCTCCAGGTCTGCATATTGTGGATTTGTTTGGTTTCCCGATATCATTTCCCGATCTCCAGGTCTGCTTATTGTGGATCTGTTTGGTTTCCCAATATCATTTCCCGATCTCCAGGTCTGCTTATTGTGATCTCCGCCCTTCACATACCACCTCCTCTACATCTTCACGTACCGTCATTTCCCTCATCTCACTCTGTTTGAGTGAAGAGTAGAAGAAATTAGTGAGCAAACCAGAAAAGGATCTGCAAAAATCATGGCCTCAGCCACCTGGTCGTCGCTCGAAACTACCAACGATAGTGAGTCCTGGTGAGGCCTCACTTCCAACAACAAACTCATAAACCATTTCTGAAACATAAACTCGTACCTGAACCTTTTTGCAAGCCTTCATTCAATTTTTCACCGGAAAAGGCAGAAGACTACTTGATTTATCATCTGAAGATGATAGCAAGGATAGAAAGTAAACGATAACGCTACAACTTCAACCACAGTGACGACATTTGCTCTTTTATCATTGTTTTTGCTAGTAGAAATCGGGTGCAATCTAGAGGATTTGAATCTTCAACTTCGCCGGAGAAGAAAGCTTTGCTGGAGGAGGGAGTCACCGAAGAAGAAGATGTCGCCGGAGGAGTTAGCCAGTCGTCTGCTTTGGAAATTCGTTTGGTAAGACAATTCTCTATTTTGACTTTTCAAGATTTAGGTTACATTTTAGGGTTTAGGTCATTTTTTGTCACTTAACTTTTGGTTTTGTACTCATTTAGTCACTTAACTATTTTTAAGTTTTAAAAGGTCATCAAACTTTTGATTTTGTGATCATTTAGTCACTTAACTTTTGGTTTGGTCACATTTAATCACCTAACTTTTAGATTTGTACTCATTTAGTCACCTAACTTTTTAAAATTGTGCTCATTTAGTCACTAAACTTTTAAAAAGAAATTAAAAGTTTAGTGACTAAATGAATATAATTTTAAAAGTTAGGTGACTAAATGTGAAAAAACAAAAATTAAGTGACTAAATAAGCACAAAGTCAAAAGTTCGATGACCTTTTAAAACTTAAAAAGAATTAAGTGATCAAATGAACACAAAACCAAAAGTTAAGTGACTAAAAATAACCTAAACCCTTAATTTTATTTGGGCGGTATAAAAATTAGATAACTTTCGGGCTAATGCTAATGGGCTGTAAAAATTAGATAACTTATACGTAAAGCGGAGGCATCAGCTCCCCCATTTTTGGTGCAATAACATTAACTAACATCTTTAAACATTTATACAAATGTTTTCAAAAGTTTATCTAAACCATCAAGTGTAAGAGGGGACCATATTATATGGAATTATAGAATTATGGATCTTCAATTTGCTTTACAAAAAAACGTCATTTATGTTTTAGTTACTTTTAATACATGCAAGAGTAAATTACAAAACAAAAAAAAAAAAAAAAACAAAAAAAAAAAAAAACAAAACAAAACAAAACAAAATAAAAAAACAAAAAACAAAAAAACAAACAAAAAACAAACAAACGCCTTTGTGTTTTTTTTATGATTATTAAATTTTTTGTTACAAAATTGATTTTTCTTATGTCCTTTAAAACTTCAAATAATGATTAGAAATAATATGAAAACTAAAAATAAATATTAAAATAAAAAATAACATAAATATTGAACCAAAACTTAAAAAGTTTTCAATTTTCGACTAAACATTATAAAATTCGCAAATCATAATGACCGTTTTTGTCATTATTCTATATCAAATAAAGAATATGGTTCATATACATGAGCTTGTTTCAACATCGTATGTTAATCATATGTGGTTTTATATATATATATATATATATATATATATATATATATATATATATATTATATATATATATATATATATATATATATATATATATATATATATAATAAAATATGTTTAAATATACGAGAAATAACTATTGAATCGAGACCGCAAAAACAAATTGCATCAATATAAATCATGTGTGGTTAGATATATATAATCACACGTGATTATATACACAAGAACACAAATAAATAATAGAGAAATAAAATTTTATTCTAACCACATACAATCATATTGACTATATATATATATATATATATATATATATATATATATATATATATATATATATATATATATATATATATATATGTAATCACATATAATCATATGTGATTAAATACAATAGACCAACACTTGAATTGAAAATATGAAAATGAATCTTGTCCACATAAAATATAATCACATGTTGTCACACCCCAAAACCACGAACGGCGAAAACGTTCAGGGGTGGAGGACGTCATGAACAGTATCACAACAGTGTAATATAATAAACAAATAACAACATCACCCATTGCATTATAAGTAAAGTTTTAATACATATGTGTTCTTTCATTGTAATAAGACACCAAAAATAAACAGTCCAAATAAAAGACGAGTCTTGTCTGCTCCGTCTTCTCAAAACCCGATCACCATACCTGTCTACTGATAACCTGAGAATACAAGTTATTTTGAAAGAGGGTATCAGCTTTAAAGCTAGTGAATTCATAAGTATTTAAGTGTCATTGCCTTGTTTTGTGAAAATCTATTATGAATGCCATGTAAATGGTTAAATGAAAATGTTAATGTAAGTATGAAAACCCTAGAAAATCCCTTATTTCCTATCAGTTTGAGATGTAGTCTTCTACCAAGACCCGAATGTTTTGTTTGTAAAAAGATAGTTTTTCCTTTGTTTTGACTAGTACTAGAAGTGCTTAGTCTAACTCATCGTTTATGTGAGTGTATCACAAAATAAAGTAAACAGGAAAATGTACTACTGTAAGTGTTGTCGCTGGGTACTAGGAGTAACACGACATCGCACGAAGCGAAAAGTATAACCTATCACAAAATGAAGTGAGTAGGAAAAGGGTACTAAAGTGGTTTTTATCCCGTGGTACTGGGGCTAACCAATATATATATATATATATATATATATATATATATATATATATATATATATATATATATATATATATATATATATATATATATATATATATATAACCTAATGAACATCCGAAGATTGTCCAATTGCCCTCTGTAGCAGCAGCAGGGTGGAGGAAGGGTTAGTCCCGTAATTGAATCCTAATATAAGTAATAACCTTAGGCATCCGTAGATGTTCATTATTCACTGTTGCTAACAGTTGAGTTCCGGAATGGTTAGTCCCGTATATATATCCCGAGGTACTAGGGATAAGGTCCTGTTTAGATATCCCGATGTACTAGGGATAAGGTCTTGTCTAGATATCCCGAGGTACTGGGGATAAGCAGGATAATTTACATAGAAGATACTAATAAATCATCCTCGAAATTCGAGATACGAATATTCAAATAAGTATACACAGGTAATGTATCTACGTAAAGGTACTCATGTAATGTATTCATGTATCATGTAAGCATATATAAAGGTACTCATGTATCAGGTAAGGT